TTTTTTTTTCATTTATGTGTTAGATAACTTAGATTTCTCATTTCTTAATTTTTCAAATAGTTCCCAAAGTTCAAAGGAAAGTTAAATATTTTAGTTTTACACTTTTACCTAGAAAAGAAATAAAAAATTTCAAAAAAAACAAAAAAAGTAAAAAAAAAAAAATCAGTCTAGCCTGGTTCAGCCCGGGCCTAAGGCCCGTCCTGTGGCCTAGCCCGGCCTAGCCCAACCCCACAGCACGGAACGACACGGATCTGGGCCATGGGCCATGTTGGGCCGACCCCCAAAATTTTCACTAGGGAGTGCAGCACGGCTCATGATGGCCTACGGGCCAGCATGGCATAGCCCGTAATATTGCTTTGAAGCTTAAACTGGTATGTTACCATGTTTTTTGAAGCTTAAAGCCTTAAACTTTGGATTTTTATTATGCTTCATGGTTTGTAAAAATTTCTGACAATTATAAAAATCTATTTTTTCTCTATAAGTAAAAACTTTTTCTCTATTTTTGAAAAATTCAACAAATACATCCCTTTCGTCGATGACAAAAACGTTAAAGATATTATTTTTTTTCAAAATACCTATTTAACCCTTTTACGGACATTGTTCATCTTCTTCCTCATGATGCACATACACCGATCATCGGACGCACGCCAAGTTTGCGGCTGATGTCAATCACCAAGTTAAGTTCTTCTTCTTGCTCGATGACGATAACTGTGTTCAAATGGAGCTTCCTCGCTATCAAAGAAAGTGAGATGTATTCCGCGTCTTTATAACCGTTGCAGACAAGAAAAGCTTCAGGATTGCCTTTGCACAAACAGCTCATCGCAAGGAATAACATTGGAATCCAGCCCTCTCTCTCTTTCTCTTGGAATTTCTACTTACCGGGTTAACAGTATTATGTTCCTCGAAGCTTTCTTCGAGAAAGGTAGATTGTTCTTTGGAGAGTCTCAACTTCTTCCTAGTTAGGCCGTTCTCCTCCTCGTCACTGGCTCTTGAGGACGCTCTCTCCGCCTCAACTTCATTTCCTGAAGCTTCTGCATCTCTCTTGTTGCCTCCACTACCGCCTCTATAAATGGAAAAATCCATCTGAAATGAAGAAACAGTACAATTGGGAGAAGAAACTGCGTTCCCATCATTAGCATCCTTTGCTGCGGGCAACCGATTGACGTCGAACCCTCTCGTCGTTGCCCCTAGGTGACCCGTTGAACCCGCCTCAGAATTACCTACGACAGCCCAAAATCCATCAAGACAAATAATACATTAAGACGCCTAATAGAACAAATATAACAAAACAAAATTGGAGATATCGGTGGACGCTTGGCCACATCGGGTATTACCATTTTCAGTTGGGCATAGCTGAAGCGATGAGAGATCCATCAAATGGATGGCCGAACCCTCCAGGAAGGTAGGGCGAAATTTCAAAAATTTCTCTCTCCCATGTGGGAATCATATTCCCTGTTTTAAAAAATCTGCATTTTCAATGATCAATCTTGAACCAAGAACCGAACCAGATCTGAAACCAAAAGGTAGGAGAGGGATATACCTGATACGAAGAAACAGTATCCTCCAAAGAAGGTGTTCATGCCCAAAGAAATTTCCAAAAACTGCTCCCACTGAATATGACATAGTATAGGGTGGAGCAGAATCAACAATGCTCTTCCCAAGAACCGAATCCTTCAGCAAGAATTCAATGGAGGCTGTGAGCACGACTTCAGATCATCCTTTCTCCGAAGACTGATATCAAGAACTATTCTTGATCTCTCCTACAAAACTGGAGATTGAACTGGTAGTAGGTGGCAATTGGAGGAGAACGCAGGGAGAAAAGATGGCGCAGTCACACTGTTGTTGTCTTCTCTCTGTGTGATCTGAGATCTGATCTCTAGGATTTTGGGATGGGCTGAATGGCTCGTCCCCTCCTCCTTTTATAGGCTTAAAGGGATCAACTCCTAATTCCATTAGGAATTTCCTGATTCAAATCCTTATTTGAATCTGGACTCTCTTTAAGTGATAAGGATAAGTCCTTATCTTATTTGCAGATTAGATCAACTCTCTCCTAACCTCATTAGGAGGTTCCAGATCCAAATTCAGATCTGGACTCTCTGAGTGGATAGGGTAAGACCCTATCCTATCTGCTGATCCAATCCCAGATTCGCCCCTCTCTTTAATTAGTCTAATTAAATCAGTTTGAAATGAGCTTTAGGCCCAATAAGTCTATGTGCTCATTAACCTTCCAAACTGCTGCCCAGTTGGGCTTCTTTATATGGTGTGGGACCCAAACATTGATCTACACATCAGCCACATGGGTTCAGCTTAGCCTCTGTTACAAGGCCTGACCGAATTCACTGAAAAGACAGTGAACCCCCTGAAGCCCATCACATGGGCTCCTAATGGGCCCAATACTAACACTAAGTGGTCCCTGGGCCAAGCCACCTTATAAAAACCTAGGGACTGTGAGCAGATACAAGATTAGCCCATCAAGTATTACCCTCAATGGTCTTACACTTAACCTCTCAGCCCATAATGATCAAACATTGCCCGACAAGAGAGGACCTCTCCCTCGGCTGCAAGGAACAGTGCTGCACTCTCTACTCATATGGATCTAGGAATTAAAACAT